CCCATTTAAACATTCGTATTAATTCGATTCTCAAAAAACAGCCCAATTTAATTATTTCAACAAAAAATCATTTGAAACCTGCTTTATCTTTTTTTGACTCATTCATTTCACTGTCTATTGACTTCTCTGATAAAACTAGATCTTGTCTTTCTCAATTCCAATTCTTAAATTTATCTAATATTCGTTCATTACATATTAAAATAGTATATTATGCGTGGTGTACTGTTGTATCAATCGATGAACTGAACTCATTCATTAATCCCAATCGATGTCCTCTACTCGAATATTTACGTTTATCATGTTGTACGATGAGACTCGCTGAATTTATCTTTACAGGCGCATTTTGCCATCTGAAAGTATGTGTTATTAAAACTTATCAAGAACTAGTTTTTTCAACCTCGACGATAACTTCGGTAGAAACGCTTCGTCGGCTCGCTATGCATGGACAAAATGAAAATGAATTTCAAAAGATTCTGTCTATGTGTCCTAATTTGAATTTTTTTCGTTTCAATTTCGATCATAAATTGCCTTCATCTATCTTTTCTAATGTTCATTATCCATTATTGAAATGTCTACATCTCAGCACAGTAAGTGTTAGTGGGAGGCAAGGGTGAGTTCCATCCGTTGAGGGTTAGGGTTTCGTCTTTCATGAAGGACTTCCGGGTAGTCCCTAAAAGCCCGGCCAGGAACCGTCTTGGTGTCCGTGGCACACGACCAGGCTTATTCAGACTTATTGACATATCTCTCGAGTGAGAGAGATATGAATGATATGAGTCTGTCCCGCGTGTGCATGAGCGTTACACTCGCCACGACTTCACCAGGATGGTTCCTGGGCGCGCGCGAACAGAATAGACATTCATTTCATCAATTCAACGTGATTTATTTGAAAGGAAAGGAAAAAAAATAATCCATCGTTTTGAGTCTACTCAATTGAAAAGCGTTGAACACGAGCATTCCCGAAATCGACGACATAGAGATTGCCATGCCGATCGAAGGACAAGCCCCTCGGATGGTTGAACTGATTTGCCCCTTCTCCTTTACCATATCCACCCACAATGGCAGCGCCCTGTTTCGCTCCTTTAGGCCAACACATCACTCGATGATTCCACGAGTCTGCCACATAGATGGTGCCCAATGTATCGACAAACAGTCCTTGAGGATGCGACAATTGTGTCAGAGCATTCCCTTGTCC